CATGGAGTGACGTTGGAGAACTTGGTCCAACCGATTGCACTTGCACTCCTCAACCCCAAAAAGAGGCGTCTATGTTATTGTCGTTTTCTGCCTTGTCCTAGTTACAATTTAATATCCCCAAAAACTTGGTTGTTCTCATATCTCCTATATATTTTCAATAATAATCGTTTAATTAAACTAAGATATTCATCTTATGGTATCAACATTGAGATGCGATAAAAGATTAGCTCGGTCTTGGACTCGGTCTCAAGTACTAATTATTGGCATCATTTAGGAAAAAGGTGTTCCTTAGAAACACTTCAACAACAGATTTGACTTATTAGTTCGATCATCACCATCTTTTAACATGCGCAAATGGAACATTCACAAAAGAACTTGGTTTAAAAAGATCATTAAGATTTCTTTTAATATGTATATACATTGAAATCCTTTTTTTTTTTTAAGTAACACATCAAATCTCAATTATTTTCTTTTATGTCCAAAATCGAATACGTATATGTTTTTATCATTGGTTAAATCTCAATTGTTTTCTCTTACGTTCAAAATCAAGTACACATATATTCTCTCATTGGTTAAATCTCACTTGTTTCCTCCTAGGCTAGCTCAAAGTCAAATTTGCATATGATTCTCTCATCGGTGAAATCTCTATCGTTTTCTTTTACGCTGGAAATTAAATAGGCATAGTACATTGCTCACAACACATATGTACCTATCTCTGTAGCATTGTACATAAGACTACGAAACTCAACTATATTGGTTCATGTATCTATGGACATTAAATCATCAATCCTGTCCTATGAAGATCTGTTTCATGAGTGGAACTTCAAATTCTCGACTTACAATTTTTTTTTAGAGGGAAGAATAGATGAACGTAAGTAACGATTCCACAATTGTATGATTAATAAAATCCTACAGAATTGTCGAACTATTCCACGGAAAGTTGATAACATTTTACTATTTGTTTGGAAAAATGGTTCTAACCTATCTGAATTATGGGGTAATACGTAGAAAACTACCCGGAGTATAAAAATATGCTTTAAACTACACCAACTTATAAAAATGTGCTTTAAACTACACGAAGTATGAAAAACATGTTGCAAACAACATATTGGGTTTTTAAAGCTTAAAACGTGAGGGGTCAAATTGTAATTAAATTTTTTTAAATCCGATTTAATCAAATATCCAACCCGATCAGTCACTTAACCCGATCCGGTTCAGTTTATCATTTTAACTGGGCCATATTAATTTGACCCAACATTTTTCTAAAACACAAAAACAAAGACATATATACAAATGACGTGAATTATGTGGAAACAAAGCAAAGAATATAACTTATAGTTGATTAAAATATCAAAATATCGTTTCCACATAATTCACGTCATTTGTATATGTGTCTTCATTTTTTGTGTTTTAGAAAAATGTTGGGTCAAATTAATATGGTCCAGTTAAAATGATAAACTGAACCGATTTAGGTTAAGTGATTGATCTGGTCGGATATTTGATTAAATCGGGTTTAAGAAGGTTCGCAATTTGTGAAGGAAAGATTGTTTCTTTGAATGGGGCTACCCTCCAAACTTGTTTTGCGAATTGGCAATGAAAGAAGAGATGGACCATTGATTCCGGTTCACTACATCTTATGCATTGCGATTGGGTGGTGATTCCTCTTGAAGCCAACTGATCTCCAATTGGTAATGCTCCACTCATTATTTTCCATAGAAAGAGTTTTAATTTCTGGGAGATATTTGTGTTCCATATTAAGGAGTTCCAGTTGATTTCAGGCATGGCATTCTCTGGTTCCATTGAGGCAAGTTCCCTGGTAGAGTGATATCCGGATTTGACTGAGTAGAGGCTCGAGGGATTGCCTAACCAGACGTGTCGATCTAGAGCTCCTGCTATGC